TTCAAGGTTTTATATAAGTCAGCCCATTGCCTTCTTGCTTGCATGCTGTCTGCTGACTAATCCGAGCTTAGTCTTCTTGTTTCTCCTCTGTATGTGACTTTGTTTTTTTCTGTAGCTGCTCTCAGGATTCTTTGTCTTTGGTTTTAGTGAGTGTGATTATGATATGCTTTGGTGATTTTCTTTTGGGCTATATCCTACATGGGGTTTGTTGAGATTCTTGGACGATCAGCTTTTCATCTTTCGTGATATTGGGGAAGTTTTTTGTCAGCAGTTCTTCAGTGATCCTCTCTCTGTTTTCTGTTTTCTTTCCCTGTTCTGGAGCTCTGATCACTTGCAAATTTTTGCTTTCGATTGTATCCCACATAAATCTCAGGGTTTCTTCATTCTTTGTCTTTTTTCAGATTTTTCCTCAGAGTTGTATCCAAGTGTTTGTCTTCAATTTCGCTGATCCTGTGTTCCATCGTTTCAAACCTGTTTTCTCAGCCCCTCTGTGACAGTCCATTTCTGAAATCTTGTTGTTTATCTTTTGATTCTCTAATTGTTGTTTTTGTATGATTTCTAGTTATGAATTTATTTTAGCGTTTTGTTCCTGTATTATTTTCTTGACTTCTTCCATTTTTTGTCTGTATTTTCCATTTATTTGTCTGCCTTTTCCATGAATTTGTCTATTTTTTTTTTCATTTTTGTCTGCTTTTTGCTTCAAGTGTTGGATAATTCTGAGTCTTAGAAACTTGAATTCCCTATCAGGTAGTTGTAGTGCCTTTTCTTCTAATGGAAAGTCATCTGGTGTTTTATTTTGGATGCCTACTGGAACCATCCTGTCCTGTTTTTTGTATGTGTTTCGATATTGTCTGCTGTCTTCAGGATATTCAGTAGTTATTTTCCTCATTTATTGATTGTGGACTTATTTGTTTCATCCTGCTTTTTGTTGTATTTGGTTATGTCTGAGCAGGCGGGCTGTGCATTCTTTGTTGTTTCCTCGTCTGTGGGCATGATTCTTTTCACTTCCTTCTCCAATTGGCAGGGTCAGTCACTCAGGTATGGTACAGCAGGGCAGGTCCAGCTGAAGGGGAGTTGCTGGGATGGGTTGTTTTTGCCACATACTAGGGCTGACAGGGCAGGCCAGGAATCAGTGCAGGGCAGGTTCTGGTAGGCCGTGCTTGTGCTGCTTTTGGTTGTGATGTTCAATGCACAGTGCAGGTAGGCAGGAAGGAGGGGGGAGATCATAATGTGTGGAGCTGAGATAGGTATGGGAGAGAGGAGAGAGGAACAGGAGCCAAAAACATACACAGAAACAAACAAAAGTGTGTGCTAAGGGAGCTTGCTGTTGGAGTGGAAAGATGAGAGTCTGAGAAGTGGAGAGAAAAAAAGAAACAGGGTAAAAGAAAAAAATGAATAAATATATATTAGAGGAAAAAAAGAAAGAAAAGAATGGCCCCCAGGGATCCCACTGGTGCGGGTGTTAGGACTGAGGAAGTTGCTCCAAGGCGTAGAGGTGTCACACAGTGCCAGGTATTCCGGAGACAGGAAGAGAAGGTAAGTATAGAGAGACGAGAAACTGGAAATGAAGAAAGACAAAAAGGGAAAAATAGAAGAAAACAAAACAAAGAAAACAAAAACAAGAAAAAAGAAATGCCCCCAGGGATGTCACTGTGCGTCTGTGCTGAGTAAGGGAGTAGCTCCCAAGCCACACTGTACTGCCAAGACTAGAAAGGGCTCCCAAGCCAAGAAAAGAAAAAGAAAACAAACAAATTGAAACAGACAAATCAGAACAAACAAACAAAAAAAGTTTCAGGTGTCCCACCAGCGTGGCGGCACAGGCCGGGAAGCAGTTTCACAGTCAAGCAGTGTTTTGCAGCCTTTCAGGAAGAAGCAATGATGGCACACGAAGCCAGTATTTCTGGGGTGGGGGCTGGTGAGTGGTAAGGAAGAAATCTAAAGAAGCAGGAAAAAGCAACACCAGCAGCCAATGAATAGCACTCAGGGAGCCGGCCACTGCGGGCAGATGGAATCCAAATGACACCGGCGTGAAGCCAGTGCTTCCCAGCCAGAGACTGTGGCCACCAGAAGCAGAGGAGGCCGAGTGGTGGTGAAGAAGGGTGGGGGTGGGAAAGCTTGTATCTATGGTTACCGGTTGTTCTGTCTCCTGCTGGAAGCTCCGTGAAGCCGCTTTCTTGTAACTCCCGTTCACCAATCTCCGATAGGAGTCCAAAATGGCGGATCCGTGCTGCAGTAGCTGAAAGGGGACCTCTGCATGTCTCTCTCCTCGCTCTCTGTTCTCAGTCAGTTTCTTATTCCATTTGGTGCTCGGCTGAGTTCTTTATCTCTTCATTTGATGCTTAGGGTTTCAGGATTGATGTGTGTCTCTTAGTTTTTGGCATCTTTACTGTGGCGGGACGGCATGGTGATTCTGTCTATAGTGCGATGTTGCCCGGAAGTCTCATTTTTATGACTTTAAATGTCATCTATATTGGTGATAATCCCCAATTTCTTTCTTTAGCTAAGACATCTCTTGAGCTACACATTCGGGTATCCATTAAACATTTGTTTGAATGATTCATAGGCAAACAAAACTCTTATTCCTCTAAACTTGTCCCTTCTTTCTGTTCTATCGCAGTACGTAGCACCAGTAACCCCTTAGTTGGTCAAGACAAAAACCTAGCCATCGTCCTTCATTCGTCCATTTCCTTCATTCCTCATGTTGAATCCTTCATTTCTTATGTTGAATTAATCAGAAAATCCAATAAATTCAACCTTCAAAATATATTTCAAGTCTGCTCTTCTTCATATTCAAATGGTATCATCACTTACCTGGTCTACTGCAACTGCCTCGTAACTTGATTCTCTACTTAACACCTTCAGTCCATTCCCCACATAGCAGCCAAAGTGAACTTCTTAAAATATAAGTCAGATCACTTGCCCTCATGCTTTATTCCTCATCTTTTCTTGTTGCATCAAAATAAAATCTGTCCTCCTTAAGCATGGACTACAAAGCTGTGCATAATCTGACCAATCTCTTCAATCTTGTTTTGTGGTCGAGCAACACAGGTGTCTCTCCACTTCCATGGATATGCCAGTCTTTCCTACTTCAGGACTTTGCACACACCGTTCCCTCTCTCAGAAAGCTCTTTCTATCACAAACACATCACATGGCTAAATTACTTTTATCCTTTGGGTTTCAGCTTTAAATGACATATCCTCAGAATACTTACCAGAAATACCTCTTCTTTTTTAAATTGCTCCTCAGTTTCTCTTTTTAAACTCATGTTTATAGAGGTATATATACATATAGAGAAATTTGCCCTTGGTAAAAGTACAATTGATGAGTTTTGACAAATGTAGAGGGTCATGTAACCACAATAAAAATGTAGAATATTCCATCACCCCCAAAATTTCCCTTATAGCCCTTTGTAGTCAGTAATCTCCTCACCCCTAGCAACCACTGATCTGACCTTTGCCCCAATAGTTTTGCCTTTTCCAGAATGTTACATAGATAAAATAATATAGTATGTAGTCTTGTGTCTGGCTTCTTTCACTTAACATAATGGTTTTGTTGTTGGCATGTTATCAGTAGTTCATTCCATTTTTTTGCTGAGTATTATTCCATTGTAAGGATGTTCCACAATTTGTTTATCTGGACACTTGATTTGTTTCCAGCTTTTAGCTATATGAATGAAATTGTCAGACATTCACATAAATGCCTTTGTGTGGACATAAATTTTCATTTATCTTGCATAATCTCATTAGGAGTGGGATTGCTGGATTGAATGGTAAGTGAAGGTTTGTAAGAAACTACCAAACTATTTTTCCAAGTGGTTGAATCTTTTTGCATTCTCACCAGCAATGTATGAGATTCCAGTTGTTCCACATTGTCACTAGCAATGGACATTGTCAGAATCTTTAATTTTAGCTATTTCTCATTGAAATTTTAATTTTCATTTGCCTAGTGACTGATGGTTTTAACCATCTTTTCAAATGCTCATTTGCCGTCCACATCTTGACTAATGAATTCTTTACATATTCTGGATACAAATCCTTTAACAGGTGTTTCACAAATATTTTCTCTGGGGCTTACCTTTTCATGTTCTTAACAATGCCTTTCAAAGATTAAAGTTTTTTATTTTGATGGTCATTTTATCAATTTTTTTCTCTTATGCCTTAGTGTTTTTGTGTCCTATTGAAGAAATCTTTTGCCTAACCCAGGTCACTAAGATTTTCTCCTGTTTTTTTTCCACTGGTTTTATAATTTTAGGTTTTACTTTAAGGTCTATGATCCATTTCTGAGTTAATTTTTGTACATGGTGAAGGTAAGATTTGAATTTTTTTTTCTTGCATGTGGATATCTAATTTTTCCAATACCAATTGTTGAAAAGACTATCCTTCTCTATTGAATTATCTTGCCACCTTTATCCAAAATCAATTGACCTGGTATGTGTGGCTTTATTTCTTGAGGATGTATTCTGTTCCATTGATTTATATGTATGTATATCCTTACATGATTGCCACACAGTCTTGATTACTGTATAGAGTCTTGAAATCAGGTAATCTGAGTTCTACAACTTTGTTCTTTTTCAAAATTGTTTTGGCTATTATACATCCTTTGGCTTTCCATACAGATTTTAGAATCAGTTTATAAATTTCTAATGAAAAAGCCTGCTAGGATTTTGATTGGGATTGCACTTAAATTTGTACATCAATCCGGGGATAAGTGGCATATTAACAATCTTGAGTCTTTCATTCCACCTACATAGTACTTGTCTGCATTACTTAGGTTTTAATTTCTCTGAGTAGTGCTTTATAGAGCAGGGTATTTTATTTTTTCCAATATTTCTTGGTTGCCCTGTACTCCACCCCACCCCCCAGCCCTTTTCTCTTTGCATCTGTTTAGATCATTGCTATTGACCTCTCTTCAAGCAGACAGATTCTTTCCTCAGCTGTTAGTTTTCTGAAGAAATTCTTTATCTCTGGTATCTTTTTTTTTTTTTTTAATTCTAGTATTTCCACTTGGCTCTTATCCATCTCTCTACTGACATTTCATACTAGATATGTTAGCATATTAATCATAGTTGTTTTAAAGTCCCTGTCTGATAGTTCCAACATCAGTGTCGTCTCTGAATCTGGTTGTTTATTGCTTTACCTTCTGATAATGGGCTGTTTCTTCTTGTGTCTCTGTAGAAACTTTTTTTGTTGAATGCCAGAGATCATGTGTGGAACAGAAGGAACTGAAGTAGATCATTTACACCTGAAAATGTGCACACTTCCGTCAAGCCATTAGCTTGTAGGCTGCATCACTGTAGGCAAGAGTTCATCTGGGTTTGGATCATATTGTTGCTATTGTTACCTTCAGTGCACCATAGGCTTCAAATGTCTCCAATTGTTGCCGCTGGTACCTTCTGTTTAGAGTGCACCTAGAGTACAGGAGGGTTTTTCTCTGTCACACCCTCAAGTCCCATGGATTCCTACACGCCTACACCCACTTGAATGGTAGCCACCTCTCTTGTGCTCTTCCTGAGGTGAAACAGTTTGTATGTTCCATCTCCTTGGAGGGGCTTATCACTCTTTGGGATTCAGTTGCTTGCTTGCCTGATGACCACAACTCTCTGATACACTCAAGCAAAGCTATAATTTTGTAGATTATCTAGTTCTTTCTCCTTGTTCAATTGGGTGTGATGTTCTCATGAGGCTTGCTACATCCTATTGAGAAGCTGAACTCTTGACTACCTCTACTAAGTTAATTTCTGTTATTCTCTAACTCAGCATTATTTCCATCAATGTACTTATTAGTACAGTATTGGACACATAGTTTTCACAACTAAATGGAGTGATACACAGGATAAATTTTCAAAAATAGAAAACATTAACCCATAACACAGAAAACACTAAATGATTAAAACATCCAATAAACTACCAGGGGGAAGGGGGATGAGAGGAGAGGAGAAATCAAAGCCCAAATGCTAAACTGGGAGATTATATCCTAAGCTATCTGTTAGATTTTCGTTTTTAATCAGCCTGAAGAATCTAGCTACAATGCTGACCAAGTGGACAACACATAAAGCACAAACAAGAAAGTATACCAAACCATCTTCTTTAATTAAGCTCTAAGAATAAGTGAAATAAATGAACAAAACATAGATCAGTAATTCTTTATTGTTTATTCCTTTTACAAAAAGACACTTGGAACAAATAAATATGAAATGGCATAGGTCTTATTTAGCAATAGGCAAACACAGGTTGCTTGGTATTCTCCATAGTAATAAACTAATGAAGTTTTCAGAAGTACACTCATCCTACCCCTCTTACCCTGGGGGTGGGGGCAAGTCTTTTAATTCCCTACAATTTTTAACAATGGATTCTCAAAAAAAGTAATCTAAGACTGATTCAGAGAACAAGACATTTGAATCAACAAGTTAAAAAAAAGTATGTATGTATATATTTTTTAATATACTGATTTACTTTCAAAGAAAAATGAAAATATGATGTAGCCTAGAAACTCCAACTAATGTGCATTCTTACAAGTTTTTCATTTCTTATAACTTGCATGAATAGTCTGTTCCATTCAAATCTGCATGGCAAATAAAGTAAAACAAAAAGGTGAGTACAATATATACACTGGCTGTACTCAGAGAAAACATTAACTTAAATATAGGTATATTTCATATACAGTGTACATGCCATGTATTTTCTTAAAGCCAACAAAGTCTTGATTTTTTATACCTTATAGGTGATGCAGTGGAAGGCAGATAAATACCAAAACCATTTATGATCAAATTCAGCTAATAAAAGACACCCTGCCTGTCGCTCATGGTACACAATGATTATCTAAGTGTATTTGTTTCACTAAAATTTATCTTCAGCCTAACACCTGAAGAGCTTTGCTAATACTTTCAATTAAATATTCTTATTTAATGATGTATCCAGCAGGTGGAAATATGTACAACAGTAATTGCAAACCAGAAAAAAAGAGATGAGCTTTTCCCCTGCCCTCTAAAAATATATTTTTAGAAGTCCATTTCAAGTTAATTCCTTACTTGGTGCTTTATAACCACTTTCCACTTTATGAAGACCATTTAGAAAGGCAGAAAAGGATATAAAATGTTTATAAAGGGTCATCATCAAAATAGCCAAATGGATTTTAAATTTACTTTTTTGTACTTTCTGTAGTACCGGGATCCTGTACTAAATTATTACATTTTACTGGATCCCCTGTAATGTTAGAAACATGAATCTTAAAATAGAAAAACCGATATTCATATTTTAAAATAAGCCCCCTCCTTCACACCTACCCCCAAATATTTTAAGGAGAAAATTAATCTAATTGCTTTAGGAGCTGATTTAATATTTGCTAAAAACAATCCCTGGTAAAACTCTTCAAATTTTTTAGGACCAGTATGAAATTCGACGCATCTATTTACTTTGACATTTTACAGAAAGTGGAAGTACAAAAATGTCAGTACAAGTAGAACCAAATATAAGAAAAAGCACCTAAAGATGGAAAAAAAGACAGCTGTGGCATCCTGTCAGTGATAAACCATGTTTATGTGTTTCCATGGACATAATAGCTAAAAAACCTAGATTTTTTTGGTTCTATGTCTAACACTTTCTTCAAACTTCAAAAGCTAATTAAATTTAGGGGGAAATATATTTTAAAAAAATTACAGGGGGAGATCATTAAAGTCCGAGAATAACTTCCAAGGTGGCAAGTTACAGTTCTCCGCAAGTGCAAGCAAACACAAAAAGCCCAAAGCGAGGAGCTAGTACATCAACATGCACAACCACAAATCCTATGGAAGTCACAATGTGTTCTGATTTGAGGATTTAAATTAACCTCCTCATGATAGAAGACAGCGTTTCATGATGGAAGCAGATTATGCCCACTGCTCGTTGAGACATACACACATCACTACTACTGAGGTCCCACTTTATGACAACTTAGAAATCAGAATTTAACTCCAGAAAATATAAATCTGGAATATGAACCTGAAGACAGTACAAACATCAGTTGAGTGGAACCTGCCTGCAACAATCTTTTATTTTTCTTTCAAGGCTACAGAAAATCTGCACATAAACAAGGCAATTAATTTTCATAGTAAAAATACCCCCCTACAAATAGCCAAGATCTCCAGTCAGATTTCATGGCACGTATATGCTGCATCACATTCTATTCCACAGGTTTATTTTCTTGTGAGTCTGCAGGGTTAAGATCAACTCTTTCTGGAAATATCAGCTTCTCACAAACTGCCTCCTTTATCGGTAAATACTGTGATATTTCATTAGGCTCCGTGAAGAGGGAAGGTGAAACATGCTAGGAAATACATAAATCATATTAGTATTTTATATTCAGTGATCACATTGGCACTTTTGGAAATATTTTTGTTCAAGCATTAATAAAGCATGTCAGTTTTAAAATAAACCCCAAAACCAAACCCAATGCCATCAAGTTGACTCCAACTTATAGCGACCCTATAGGACAGAGCGGAACTGCCCCGGAGGGTTTCCAAGGAATGGCTGGTGGATTTGAACTGCTAACCTCCTGGTTAGCAGCTGGGCTCTTAAGGAGCACTATTAAGTCCTCCTAATAATAACAGGTATCTCCTGTTACTGAAACATTCAGCTTCCTCAAAGAGCATAGGGTTATATAATTTACAATGCTCCCATAAATGTTCTAAGAATTTAATACAAGTATACCTCCCTGTTTGAAAGTTTGCTTTACACCACTTCGCCTTTACAGAAAACAAAGTGTTTTTGCTAACCTAAAGAAATCCGAAGAGGATTTTCACTTTTACCAAAAAAAGGTGAAAAGTGGAAATAGGGTTCAGCATTTGTTGTGTAGTAAGCCGTTAGAGGCACCACACACCCTGAGCAGCGAGAGTGGTGTCACCAAGTTTCTTCCCCCGGAACTACACTCAGCATCTCAGCATTGAGCCACCATAGCTTTGAACTGTGTCTGTGAGCATCTGTGCTTTATCTTGATTTATCTGGTGCATCCATTAGCAAGATGTGTCCTAAGGTATCATGAAACCCTACAAAAGAGTTACGTGTTATTTGGTATGATTTGGTTATTTTTTGGGTCTGGGAATGCTCAAAAATTTTTCCCATTTAAATTAATGGTAATTGCTCCTTTGCTTTATGCCATTTTGGCTTACAAAGGTTGCACAAGAACACTCTACTTTTGGATAGTGGGGGAAACCTGTGCATCTTAATCCAATTCTCTGTATTTGTTGCTTTTGTACCTTGAAAAGCACTGGTCTTCAGTTAGAGCCCAGTATGCATTCTACAACAGAATCGACATAATTTTTCTGGAGGTATACTCTACACCCAGAGAAAAATTAGGATTTTGTAAAGAGATATAAGTATTAAGGGTAAAAAAAGAACATCAAGTTTTCAAGAAGGTATCTCTTTCTAAGCAGCCCATTATAGAATTCTAAGTTCCAAGGGAAGCAAAAAATACATGTCCCAGGGAAGCAAAAAATAAAGGACAATTATGCCAAAACAAGTCATAATACAAAATCACCACATTTTAGGGAGGGAAAAAAAAGATCAGGTAGAAAGAAATTATAGAGTGGCAGGGTGGTAGTGAAAACATCCAACTGGTGTCAGCTGCAGCTCCACCACCAACCAGCTATGTGACCCGGGGTAAGTCACATCTCTGGGTCTCAGTTCTCCCCAAGTAAAACGTGGAAATTGGATTGGATGATGGCTAGGGTATTGAACAACCCTGACTGTTCTTATATTTGAGGTAAGCTCAGGAAAGTTATGCTCCAGCAGGATTTATCTTAAGGAGCTTATTAAGTGAATGAATGGATTTAAGTATATATGTTCAGGTGTGGAGGGTGGGCTGAAAAACTCAGTACTTAAAACATTACAACCTAACTTCTAAAAATAGAAGCATATATACTGTACCATTAAATTAGCAATTTTGCTCTCTCGTGATGTATATTCTCGTAACATGTAGGTCTTGTTGGCCTATGTTCAAAAAGAAGTCATAATAAATTTATTTATATTGATTTACAAAATCTACTCCATTAAACAGAACTGCCTATATTATAGAATAGGTTATGAAAGTAATGTGAAGTCTGATGAGAATATCTTGTTCTATAGTATATATATTACTTACAGTAATACCAGATACCTATGTAAACAGATTTAATAACTCCCACATAAGAGAAACACAAGCAAAAGTTTTATTTTGAAAGCCAATCAGTAACATTACCTTGATAAATGTAAATGAGACACACAAGAGATTTTAATTTTACTTTAAGTTTGAGACTACATCTTTCTTCCTAAACTGTGTTATCATCTCCCTACATAATTGTGACTACTTTTATGTTCCAAAAAAATGTTTAAAATTTTTTATTCTCTCCTATTTCCACAAAATTCTTACCAAACTGTTTACTTAAAATCAGTGTTTTGTTGTACTTCAATTTTTCCCATTTAAGATTTTATTACAATTTGTTTTTTGTTGAAACAGTTTTCAATAAAAAGCTACAAAATTATACTCCCTTAAAATTTCAATCACTTATATAAAAAACAGATGAATGCTCACTATAAAAAAACATATAATATAAACGTATAAAGAAGAGAGTATAACTCATCAGCAATCATGGCTCCTGAGAGATAACACTACGTTTAATATTTAGAAATCTACACAAAATCTTATAGAAAAAGGTTCATACTCGCTTTTAAAAAATTTAACACTGAAACATACATCTTTCCAAATCAGTTAAATATCACTCTCTCCCATCATTTTTTATGTTGTGTATTTTTCTACTATATTGATATAAAACAACTTACAATGCCCAATTGAAGGGCATTCAGCTCTGTCCTGTCTCTCTTCTTCCTTCCTCCTTGGCTCCCTCCCTTCCTTTATTTTTGCTATTATAAACAACACTGCAGTGAACATCCATGTTCATTAAACTCTAGGTACTTGCCTGATTAATATTTTTGGATTACTGAATGAAAGAATCTTTTTTAGGATAAATTCCTAAAAGTCAGTACTATTGAATTAAAATCTAAACACTTTTAAAATTTAGATTCCACTCTTTCTGAATTAGGAAAACAGCCTGTTTTTACTACTTTCCTATTACTTTTAAAAAGAAAAAGGTCCAGCACAGTCACCTCATTATTTCAATAAAAAGAAACCATCCTAACTTTAGGTTTTGGGAAAACACCAGTCTAATCCCATATCACTGGGTTCAAATCCCAGTCCTGCCTCCTACTAGCTGTATAACTTGGGCAAATTACTTTACTTAACCTGTCTTTGCCTCAGTGGCCTCAGCTATAAAATGAGGATAAAAACAGTATTTGCTTCTTAGTGTTGTTATGAGTTAATCATTACTATGATTACTGAGACTAACACTGGTGGGATCTTCTCTGACTCATCATTCCAGATAAGTTAATCTAAAGTTAACAAATCTGAAGTTAGAAATTCATTCATAAAGGAAAAGCTGCTACAAAGTTGCTAGAAGAATTTTCGTAACTCAACTTAACCCCCATTTTTTCCAACACTTATAAAAAAAAACCCTGTATGTTAACAGTTCCTTCAGAAAGAGTATAATTTTCTACCACACACAGTTTTCAAACTTTAGAACAACTATCAAATAACCATGTAATATAAATTTCAGGAAGCTATGAGTGGTATCTCTAATATCAGCACATTATATTAACAATAAATACTGTAAACAGGGGTAAGAGTTAAGGTACAGTTTTCTTAAACACACATTTAGTACATACAAGATTTAAAAAAAGAAGCATCAGATCCTCCACTAAGGACTCATTTAGAAAACATTTTCAGCTATAGGAACTTTTGGAAAAGAAGATGCAATGTTTCAATAATCGTACACAATCAACAGTGAGTGTGAAACATCCAATTTTAAAGATTAGAGGGATCTCCATACGATATAAAACATTATTTAACTTCCAATTTTCAGGCTATCAGTGAAACAACATGAACAGGCCCAATATCAATTAGCATATTCATTAAATGAGAATAGATACCTCATGGTAAAGTCTCGTGTCATTCATTCTAATAAGCACCCCGTCAATTCTCAAAAAAAACCGCAACAACAGGAAAAAGCTAGAAGGCATTACTCTCTGGAAAAAAAGTACATTATTAATATTTTAGTGAAGACTAAATATTTTATTACTTTGCTAAAAGAAAAATAAAGGGTTAAAAAAAAAAAAACCTTTGAGGGCTGGTTAGCAGTATGTAAAACTATCTGAATTAGAGATTCTTTGTCCCAGCTCCAACTAAGTCTCAAAACCTTTTGCAGGGGGTCCCTGGGTGGTGTAGATGGTTAAGCACTCAACTACTAGTCGAAAGGTTGGCGGTTTAAACCCACCTAGAGGCGCCTCAGAAGACAGCTCACAGCCTTGGAAGCCCTATGGAGCAGTTCTACTCTGCACACACGGGGCTGTCATGAGTCAGACTCGACAGAAACCAACAACAACTTCTTTGAGGGTCTAAGAAAAACTTGTACTAATTATTTAACATTCTGGTGTCAGTTTCCTATAATAGAAAAATGTTTTTCTACATCAAAAGATATTGAGGTTAGAAAGACTTAAAATATACCCAAGTAATGTGAAAATTATGATGATTGTTTTAAAAAAAGCACGAGCAACAAAGGACAAAATAGGTAAGATGGACTTCATCAAAATTAAGAATTTTTGTGCATCAAAGGACTTTACCAAGTAAGTGAAGAGTCAACCTACAAGACTGGGAAAAAGTACCTAATAAGGGTTTAATATCCAGAATATATAAGGAACTCCTACAACTCAATTTAAAAATGGCAAAGGACTTAAATAGATACTTATTCAAAGAAGATATATGAACGGCCAACAAGCACATGAAAAGATGCTCAATGTCATTAGTAATTAGGGAGATGCAAATCAAACCACAGTGAGATCCCACTTCACTCCTACTAGGATGGCTATTACCATAAAATATGGTAGAAAACAACAAGTGTTGGAGAGGATGTACAGAAAATGGAACTCTCATTCCTTGCTGGTGGGAATATAAAGTAGTGCAGCTGCTATGGAAAACACTCTGGAGATTCCTCAAAAAATTAAAAACAGAATTATCATATGACCTAGAAATTCCACTCCCACGGATACACCCAAAGACTTGAAAGCAGGGACTGAAACAGATACTTGTACATCAATGCTCATTGCAGCATTATTTACAATAGCCCAAAGCTGGAAATAACCCAAATGTTCATCAACAGATGAATGAATATACAAAATGTGGTACATATATACAATGGAATATTATTCAGCCATAAAGAGAAAAAAAGTTTTCATATACGCTGCCCATGGATGAACCTTGAAAATATTATGTCAAGTGAAATAAGTCAGACTTGAAAGGACAAATATTGCATGATTCCACTTATAGGAAGTATCTAGAACAGGAAATGCATCAAGACAAAAGTTTATCAGTGGTGACCAGGGGCTAGGGAGCTATTCCTTAAGGGGTACTGAGTTTTTTTGGGGGGTGATAAAAAATTTTTTTGGAAATGAATAGTGGTGATGGGTTGCACAGCATAGTGAACATGATTAATGTCACTAAACTGTATAAGACTGTGAAACAGTTGATAACATATTTTTTTGTTGATACGTATTTTACCACCAAAAAACAAACAAACAAAAAACCAACAAACTAATTAGTGAAGATTTTTTAAAAATGGTAGTACTAATGGTAAATTTCAGCATCAGAAATAATAAATGCAAGAACTACTTGGTTCTCTGCTGCTACTCAACTTTTATTCACTTTACACAGAATAATGACAAGAGACCTTAAATGGGATGTTCTGATTCAGTGCAACTGATTAGGGACTATTTTATACGGCCAAAGACTGGTTTATCAGAACATTATAATATGTTCTTAACAACTTTTATCTATAGTATATCTATAAATTTCTGTGTTCTCGAAGTACAGCCACCGAAGAAAGCCAGAGTTGGTGCAGACGTAAGAAGGTGGGTCCTGGTGGTAGGGTTGGATAAGGTGCAGGGAATTAGGTCTTTAAAAAGAATGTGCTTGACCAATTACTACATAAATGTTTATTTTCTAAACTGTCAAGTTCTTATTATAGTAGGTCTTGGATTTATATAAATGAAAAGAGACAATCCCAATGTTCAACAACTTTATCAACCAGGGAGACAGACTTGATAGATCACAATAAACTGACTGGGAAGTACCTGACAGTGTGCTATTTACAATTTTTGAGAAAGACTGATTTACAACATTTCTTCAAATTTTAATATTAGTAACTAACAGTTGCACTGGGCACAACATAGGCAGCAATATTTTAAAGTAAAACTATCACTTCAGCATAGCATAGGGGAAGGACTATGAATTAGGAGACCTGAGTTCTAGTCCCAATTCTACCATAATTCAACTGTGTATTTTAGGGTAGTATTTTTCTATTCCCCACATGTCCGTTAGTTTGTTGCACTATAGTGGCTTGTGTGATGCTGTGATGCTGGAAGCTATGCCACTGGTATTTCAAATACCAGCAGGGTCACCCATAGTGGAAAATGTTTCAGCAGAGCTTCCAGACTAAGACAGACTAGAAGACAGACCTGGCGGTCTACTTTGAAAATACTGGCCAGTGAAAACCTTATGAACAGCAGTGGAACACTGTCTGGTACAGTGCTGGAAGATGAGCCTGTCTGGTATAGTGCTGGAAGATGAGCCCTCGGCTTGGAAGGCACTCAAAATACAACTGGGAAAGAGCCGCGTCCTCAAAGTAGAGTTGATCTTAATGATGTGGATGGAGTAACTTTCAGGACTTTCATTTGCTGATATGGCATGACTCAAAATGAGAAGAAATAGCTGCAAACATCCATTAATAACTGCAACGTGGAATGTACGAAGTGTGAATCCAAAAATGAAATAGACTGCATAAAGACTGATATCCTAGGGATTAGCGAGCTGAAATCGACTGGTATTGGCCATCTTGAACCGGACAATCATATGGTCTACTATGCCAGAAATGACAACTAGAAGAGGAATGGTGTCACATTCAGTGTCAAAAAGAACATGTCAAGATCATCCTAAAGGACAACACTGTCAGTTATAGGAAAATATCAATCTGCTTACAGGGAAGATTAGTTAATATGACTGTTATTCAAATTTACACACCAACCACTAAGGCCAAAGATGAGGAAATTGAAGATTTTTACCAACTTCTGCAGTCTGAAATTGATCAAACATGCAACCAAGATGCATTAGTGTGATCAGAATGTGTAAACTGGAAACAAAGAAGACGGATCAGTAGTTGGAAAATATGGCCTTGATGACAGAAATGTCGGCGGAGATCACATGATAGAATTTTGCAAGACCAATGACTTCCTCATTGCAAGTATCTTTTTTCAACAATATAAACAGTCACTATACACATGGACCTCACCAGGTGGAATACACAGGAATCAAATCAACTACATCTGTGGAAAGAGAACGATGGAGAAGCTCAATATTATCAGTCAGAACAAAGCCAGGGGCTGACTGCAGAACAGACCATCAATTGCTTATAAACAAGTTCAAGTTGGAGCTGAAGAAAATTACAGCAAGTCCACGAGAGCCAAAATATGACGTGGAGTATATCCCACCTGAATCTGGAGACCACTGCAAGAACAGATTTGACACACTGAACACTAATGACTGATGACCAGACGAGTTGTGAAATGACATCAAGGCCATCATACATGAAGAAAGCCAGAAGTTATTAAAAAGCCAGGAAAGAAAGAAAAGATCAAAATGGATGTCAAGAGAGACTCTGAAACTTGCTCTTGAACATGGAGTAGCTAAACAGAATGGAAGAAATGATGAAACAGCTGAATAGAAGATTTCAAAGGGTGGCTCGAGAAAACAAAGTAGAGTGTTACAATGAAACATGCAAAGACCAGGAGTTAGAAAACCAAAATGGAAGAACGTGCTCAGCATTTCTCAAGCTGAAAGAACTGAAGAAAAAAATTCAAGCCTCAAGTTGCAATACTGAAGGATTATACAGGGAAAATATTGAATGATAAAGGAAGCATCAACAGAAGATGGAAGGAGGCCCATAAAACAAAACGAGACTAAAGGTGCACACCAACCCAGGGGCAAGGACTAGAAGGCAGGAGGGGGCAGGAAAGCTGGTAATAGGGAACTCAAGGCCAAGAAGGGAGAGTGTTGACTTGTTGTGGGGCTGGTAACCAATGTTACAAAACAATATGTGTACTAACTTTTTAATGAGAAGCTAGTTTGTTCTGTAAACCTTCATCTGCAGTACAATTAAAAAAAAAAAAAGAGTTATCTGAGGGGGAAAAAAAAAAGACACAACCTAAAAAAAAGGTTAGGGACACAAAGTTCTAACCTGGAAACAAACATTACTGGGAGAAGTTAATTTGAAATGCAAATTAAGAATTAATTTCTGAAATAAATATCTTTCAATTAGATATAGGTAATGTCACTCACACAAAGTTACCAAAACTCATAGTAAACTCAATGAAGCAAATCCAAAACATCCCAAACCTCATTGTGCATAAAATCCTAAATCTACTCTTTCTTCCTTGGGAACTGTACCACAAAGAAATCATGATTTTTTAAAATATACATTGCCGGAGTTCCAGCAAAACGGCGCTCTAGGCAGAAGCACCACGCTGTCCCTCCACAGCAAAGATGGGAAAAACTAAGCCGAACAGAGAATACAACAATCCTGAAACCCTAAAACATCAAATGAAAAGATAAAGAACTCAGCCAAGCACCAAATGGAGTGAGAAAACTTACAGAGAACGGAGAGCTAGGAAAGATTAATGCAGAGGTCCCCTACCAGCTAACGCAGCACGGATCTGCCATCTTGGACTCCTATCAGAGACCAGCAAACAGGGGATACGAGAAAGCAGCCTCACGGAGCTTCCAGCGGGAGACAAAACAACCGGTAATTTGCGATATATGCTTTCCCAACCCCCACCCTTCTTCACCCCGACTCGGCCTCCTCTGCTTCCTGCGGCCACAGTCTCTTGACCGGGAAACAGCGGCTGCTTGGATTCCACACACTCCAACGGGTGGCTCTCTAAGTGCCACTTGTTGGCTGCTGGTGTTGCTTTTTTTCCAC